GGGCTAAAATTCGGCATGCAGGTACCTAGATGGTATGACGTAGACATCCGCTAAGAAAGGATTTTGATCATTCTACCCCAAGTGGATAAAATAGGGGATGGAAGTTTGTATAAATCTTCTTAGATTTGCGGTTGATTGAACTAAACTATTCCGCTTAAATAAAAATTAAATTAAATAGGATGGGATTCGGGAAAGGACGTCTGTGAGTTTTAACCGGGAAATCGCACGAGCAGTGGAAATGTGTGTTAAAACCTCGGGACTCTCTTTTAAGCCACTGAACCTAAATAGGATCAGTGTGTAAATCACTCAAATGAGTGAAATACGGTACACCGATAGTTTGGAACGTTTTTATCCCCAGGTAGAGAAACTATGCGATCCCTATGGAAAGCCCAACAACTCTTGTGGCCGGGACCTGTGGGGTTGTTTATTTTTTAAAACCACGAAAATAATTTCACGATAAATATAACTTAGGTACTGAATCGATCTAACGACATTTGTTACAGCCGTAGAATATACCTACCGCGGAAGCCAAATTATGCCAAAAGTCCTTATGTCACGGGCAACCGCTAGTAAGAGTACAAGATTACACACAAAGTGTTAAAACAATCTGTCAAGGTAGGGACGCCAGGGACTGGTGGAGATTTTACAAAAAAGTTTGAGTAGTTGTTGAATTTACCTCGAACAGACAGTCATGCCGATGTCTGCCGATGAGAGCTAGGTCGTTACACCAAAATCGGTACCTCCTAAACTGAAACTACAGTGCAGAAATCAACCTTCCCAATGGACGATGACCCTAAGAAAGCCCAGCCATAAATTTCATTACATCGCACAGTAATCGACGATTTGTATAGCCTCAACATTTTCTCAAGATTCGGACAGGCCGACATACCTCCCCCTGTTATTACTAACAACTAAGTATAGACCTACCAACCCACCCACTCACTTCGGATCACTTCATTTCAAAAGAAGACAATTGACTACTAGGCAACACGTCTCGAGGCTACCCTTGAAGAGTCAAACATATTGCTGATTTTGTAGTATCTAAAGGTCTATGTTCGAACCCATAACCAAATCGTATGCGTAGGTATCGTAATTTACTTACACACGTTTCACGTAAAGTTTTAGGTATAGCCTATTATTAAAAATAAATCCATTAAGCAGGTATGTTTCATGTCAAACCTTTACACTTGACAAAGAGGCTCGGACGTGGACAGTGAGTGAGTGGACAGTCGTGTCCACTCACTGTCCACGCTCGGGCATTGCGCGAAGCATCCTAACCGGGCTTACTGGCTATCGACTTTTAAATTGTTAGTCGTTATCGTTTTTCTACGTAATGTTAAATTAAATTTTCCATTGAAACGACTGTACATTATTATGCACACAGTTAAAGTTGAACTAGCGAACATTTAACAACCCGTATCCGGCGCATGGTTTCATTTTACGCGCGATCACGCGACGCGTAGTCGTTGCGTACGTCCGCTTCACGCATTTGTTGTCCTTAGAGTGGAACATAATATAAGTAATACGCAGAATTTCTGTGGATTGTAAACAAAATTCTGCTCATGTACTGCCCCGAATGAATTTCAGTTCATCGGTAACAGTAAATTGTAAACTCCAGAAATAGTTACTTTGTTTATAACACTAAGTAATCAGAAGGTTTTGATATTCAACGCGAGCACCGAGCACCGCAGACAACGCTGTGACAAGCTTAATAAGTATTCATCTCCAGAGTTGTGAACCCACGGGGACATAAAAGTATCTCTTGAATAAACGTTTAACTTGCAGATTGGAGCTGTTATTCCGCTAGAAGCCGCGCTCTCCGCCCGCCGCCGCCGCTATGAATTCTTACTACGCTAATGTGCAGCGGAGGAGTTTTATTACGCTCCCAATAAAATATTAAGTAGCATAGGTTATAGATGTGACGTTCGTAGCATCGCGTCCGGTGCCGCACCACATGATACAGTCTAGATATTAAAGCCGCTTCGAATACTAAAAGTTTTATTTCCCACGAGGTGCGAGCCGACCTACGAGGAATGTTCATAGTGGCACGTAATAGAATTTTTCCCTACGACAAATGTAAGTTGAGTTGCTCGCGAGGATGATATTCTCACTTCTGTATAATGTCAGTCCACGAATGTTCGCAATGTACTTCATGGCATGACTGTAAAGGTATTTACAGAAGATAACTACGGTAACAGAAGGTAACTTATGTAGGTTCTTAGGTACTTCATAAGTTCATATGTACCACACAACAATACTCATTATTATTGTTTACCTACGCGCCTGCACCATAGATATTGCCAGTGGTGTCTAAATAATCTTGGGTTTTTTTTTACTATTCTCCGAAACTACCTTTTTTGGAAGGAATATTTTCTGTATTGGGTAATTCGTTTATCAAGGAAAACTGTAAGCTATAAAACACCACGCTACGGTTAAGAGGAGCCGAGCAGCGGGACTACCTAGTCTTATATAACCTGACAGCCAGGTCCAAGGATCCGCTCTGATTATGAATTTGGAGTACCTACATCAAACCCTGTGATCAAACCCCTTCTTTAATTTTCTAAAATTTTCATAAATGCGATAACAAAGAGGTGATCACAAGTGTGCAATCAAAGAGTATTCAGTTGAGCAATTAAAGCATTTTGGGTTAAAATAGGGATAATAAAGCATACGACACAGTGCGGTCGCGGCCATAGCAGTATTCGCACCAACTCGCCAGACGGCGCGGGCTGCGGGACATATCAACTGATCATTAACACCTACACAGTAACGGCCTAGTATGCTAACTTTATTCTAATATTTTGTGTAATCTGTGTACGGTAAATTCAACATTCTTTACGTGGGGGTTAGTGGAGATAGAGAACCAATCTGCCTCTCCTTCCCCATCCTCAATCCATGGTGATCCGTCTGCTCGTTTCCCGACCATATTCGTTGAAAAAAATGGTGTGATGTTTTGCTTTAGATAAGGGAGTAAGGGATCAATAAAAAAACAAAATGAAAATGATTAATTTTAATTTTTATACAAGAACACAATAAAAGACTACACCTCGTAATCTGGGCAGAGGGGCTTAGGATGAGTTTGTTTTACGCTTAATAACGTCGAAATGAGACTGCGTTAGGCACTCTGATTGGCCTACTACAATGAACCAACCAATCAGAAGGCTAAACGCGGTAACATTAAACGTAAAAATAATCGTACGAAACCCTCAGGTCTTCATAACCAGCAACAGTATTAGCCGAGTAACTCATATTTAGAGCCTCATACGAGTAATGTACACTGCTAATATTTTAGACTACTCAGGTAAACTTAACATAATATACCTAAAAATATGTAATACATACTTATATCTAATAATACACAGTTTAATAAGACACTGTAATCAGGTGATTTATCTAATTCAGAGAAATTATTGGTTAACAATTAATTAACATACATAATAGAAATATGCGGAATAGTATAAATAAATCACCCATTTCTCAAAAGATTACATAAATAGTATGGCGCGAACATAGAAAAACTTTTATGTTCAATCACAGTAGCTGTCAAATATTAAACGTCCAATGGTGTGACACTAGCTAATTCCCTATTGGACGCAAAACGAGACGTTGACGCTGGCGCCATCTGATGAGCCAAACTACAGCAGGCCCCGTTACGTTACTGCGCATAATTATAAACTTCAAGTTCATGGAAACTACTGAACTAATGTTAATGATACAATTATAGTCGTTTTGGAATGTCATGCGTTTACGGTGACATCGTGGGAGTGTCACATCCATTTTCCACTGCTTTTTATTTTGTACAAAGCAAAAAATAAATATTAGCAGTAATTAACTCGAATTGATAAATAAATATTAAAACTCAAAATATAACACAACATAACATAACATCACGCCTTTTATCCCCGAAGTAGGCAGAAGTACACATTATGCCACTGTACAATGTAACACCCACTTTTCACTATTTATGATATGAGTCCCATGTAATAGGGGGTGAGCCTATTGCCATATACCGGGCACATTTCCAGATTCCGTGCTGACTGCTGCTGATTGAGATTTTTTATAAAACCCAGTAATACTTTGCCCGATACGGTAATCGAACCCGAGACCCCTTGCCCGACAGGCGCACTTGCCACTCGGCCAAAGAGGCAGTCAAAGAAAATTTAAAATATAATTTCGCTTTATATTTTACCTTTTAAAAAGCATAACTGTTAAAATTGTATATATATTACCAATAATACCACAGACGTTGGTGCATGTTTTGGGCCGAACTTTGATTAGAGACTGATACAATCATTTCGTAATTAAATAGATTCATAATTTACAATTTATTGTAATCAGTCACAAAACTAGAATAATATTAAATTACAAATTGTTGTTTCGGGTCTGGGTGTCATTGCGTATGTGAACTTGTATGTTTGTAAACGCACCTACGACATCGGGGAAAATCCTAGTGTGGGGCAATGTTTTTAGAAATAAGAATAAGTATTTAGAAAAATCAACTTCCACCTCCTTTTCTTTTGAAGTCGCGTAATTAATATACTAAAACCTTCTTTTAAGTGTGACTACATAAATATACATACAATAACTACAATATTTTCCACATTCGGGGAGTATTGTAAGTTTCAACCTTAAGTTGTCTCTCGCCGTTTTTAAACTTTTTATGGAAAGTATGAGTACCAAGTTTCATTAAAATTGGTTTAGAAGTTTCCATGATTATAGAGTTGTACCAAACCTCGTGCCACGTAGTAACAGTCTTAATACAAATGTAACATAGTGTAAGTGCCTCATTGGGTACAGTTTACCTCAGGCCTAGAGTTGTGTTGCGCTGTCGTATTGATGTGCGTTATTGTGCCGGTGTAGAAGATCGAATGTAGTGCTAGAGCCAACGACGACGTACGGCGGGGTCCTAGCGCGGCACGTTGGTGGTGCGCTGCACGGACGACATGCCGTCCACGAAGCGAGTGCGGAACAACACGTTGGCGTTGTTGAACATCCGCGCGGCACGTTGGTGGTGCGCTGCACGGACGACATGCCGTCCACTGGCGCACTGACGACGTACGGCGGGGTCCTAGCGCGGCACGTTGGTGGTGCGCTGCACGGACGACATGCCGTCCACTGGCGCACTGACGACGTACGGCGGGGTCCTAGCGCGGCACGTTGGTGGTGCGCTGCACGGACGACATGCCGTCCACTGGCGCACTGACGACGTACGGCGGGGTCCTAGCGCGGCACGTTGGTGGTGCGCTGCACGGACGACATGCCGTCCACTGGCGCACTGACGACGTACGGCGGGGTCCTAGCGCGGCACGTTGGTGGTGCGCTGCACGGACGACATGCCGTCCACTGGCGCACTGACGACGTACGGCGGGGTCCTAGCGCGGCACGTTGGTGGTGCGCTGCACGGACGACATGCCGTCCACTGGCGCACTGACGACGTACGGCGGGGTCCTAGCGCGGCACGTTGGTGGTGCGCTGCACGGACGACATGCCGTCCACTGGCGCACTGACGACGTACGGCGGGGTCCTAGCGCGGCACGTTGGTGGTGCGCTGCACGGACGACATGCCGTCCACTGGCGCACTGACGACGTACGGCGGGGTCCTAGCGCGGCACGTTGGTGGTGCGCTGCACGGACGACATGCCGTCCACGAAGCGAGTGCGGAACAACACGTTGGCGTTGTTGAACATCCCGTCCTTCAGCGACACGATGATGAACTGCAACACAACGTCCGTACGTACAGCAGGTGCGGGTCCCGGCCGGGACAGGACGGCCGGTACAGGACGGCCGGGACAGGACGCCGGTACAGGAGGCGGTACAGGAGGCGGTAGTACCTGCGAGTGGCGGAAGTGCGTGCGCAGCATGAGGCCGATGTTCTGCGTGTGCGCCAGGTCGAGCGCGGCGTCCACCTCGTCCAGCACGTACAGCGGCGCCGGCTGCCAGCGCAGCATGCCCAGCACCAGCGACAGCGCCACCAGCGAGCGCTGGCCGCCCGACAGCTCGCCCAGCGACTCCTTCCACGCGCCGTTGAAGCCCACCTTCACCTGCCGACGGCCAGAGTGAGAGTCTGTCGCGGCCGCGCGCTGCGGGCCGCGCGGTAGGCGCCCACCTCGAGTCCGTCCAGCACGGTCTGGCCTTCGGGCGGCGTGAGCTTGGCCTCGGCTCCGGGCAGCAGAGTCGAGAAGATGGAGCCGAAGTCCTTGTTGACCTGTTCGCACGCCGCCACCAGCGTCTTCCTCTTCTTCTCGTCCAGCTCTGCCATCACCGCCACTAACTTCGCGCGGTCTGCCTCCACTATCTGCTTCTTGTGCAGCAATTCTTGGTACTGTCGAAGGGACATGGTTTCAATATTTATATTTAACGTAACTACAAGGACACAATAGTCGTGGCGCCAGTCCGTCGCGGCGCGCCTGTACTGCTGTAGCCGGGAGGTATGGCTGGCTAGTGTAGAGTGTACCTGTTCCTCCTCCTTGCCCAGCAAGGTATGCGCGCGCGCGTTGAGTCCCCGCGCCAGTCCGTCGCGGCGCGCCTGTAGCTGCTGCAGGCGGGCGGCGGCGGCGCTGGCCTGGCGCGCCTGGAAGTCGAAGATACCGCCCGGCGCACCGAAGTACGACCGCTCCGAGCTGATCCACGGGTTCGCTTTTTCCAAGTTGGTAATCTGCAAGGTCATCATTGATCGGTACCCGAGTACATTCATGTAGGTACGACCGCGTGTTACCACGCGCGCCTGTACCAGTAATTGTCCGCGTGATCCCGTGTTACCCCGCGCGCCTGTACCAGTAATTGCCCGCGTGACCCCGTCTTAAACCACGCGCCTGTACCAATAATTGCCCGCGTGACCCCATGTTACCCCGCACGCCTGTACCAGTAATTGCCTGCGTGACCCCAAGTTAAACCACGCGCCTGTACCAATAATCGCCCGCGTGACCCCGTGTTACCCCGCGCGCATGTACCAGTAATTGCCCGCGTGACCCCGTGTTACCCCGCGTGCCTATACCAGTAATTGCCCGCGTGAACTCGTGTTACACCGCGCGCCTGTACCAGTAATTGTCCGCGTGACCCCGTGTTACCCAGCGCGCCTGTACCAGTATCTGCCCGCGTGACCCCGTGTTACCCCGCGCGCCTGTACCACTAATTGCCCGCGTGACCCCGTGTTACCCCGCGTGCCTATACCAGTAATTGCCCGCGTGAACTCGTGTTACACCGCGCGCCTGTACCAGTAATTGTCCGCGTGACCCCGTGTTACCCAGCGCGCCTGTACCAGTATCTGCCCGCGTGACCCCGTGTTACCCCGCGCGCCTGTACCACTAATTGCCCGCGTGACCCCGTGTTACCCCGCG